CATGCCAACATGGTGTGGGAGAGCGGGTAGGGATTTCTGGGAGGATGAAGCACTGAGAGAAAGCAACGAACATCCAGGAACCTAAGTCACTGCAAGGAATATTGGCGAGCTCTCATCTGAATGAAGCAAGTCCCACCACCAGCTCCAGCTGTTGCTGCCAGGTCCAGCGCAGAGCTGTTTTCCATCAAGCCCAACTGAAGAAACGCATCAAAGCAACAGATCAGGACTGAGATCTGGCAGGACAGAGTGCCGAGTAGATGATCAGTAACAAAGATTTTTATTTTATCTCAGTTGGGCACGGGACTGGTAAACATCTGTCTTTCCTGCAGCTCCCACTGAACTTCATACCTCTGTAGTGACCGGGTACAGCAGCAAGACAGAGGGACTCTGGTGACTTCAGAAGTGTGATTTTATACCAGTCAAAATACTGGCTCTAGATAAGAGCTAAAGTTGCCACTACATATATTGACTCTGTATTTTTAGGCTTCCTATGAAATACGTGAGCTAGCAGAGCTGTGAGGATTTATTGCTAACTGAGCAGGGCTCTGTGTGCTAAAAACCTGTCCCCAAAACTTAGGTGAGTACTCACAAGGGCAGAGATCTTCAGTATCTTCAGTTCCCTTAACTCCATAGGGTCAAATCCTTAGTAGGAGCAGCACAGTATGGCTGAGGGCCTTGCCATCCTTTTCTTTCAGCTGAGGTCTGGTTCCCTCTGATGTACCTGAAAGCAAAAGCTGGCACCTATTTGTACGTTATGTTGTTGCTTTCCTATTGCAGCTTTAACCATCTGATTTTTAAGTTGTGCCTACCTCATCCTCTGCATCTTCACCTTCAAAAAAGTAGGTGAGATGATTTTCCTTCTCAATAGGTTTCAGGTACCCCAAAATGGGTACATGGCTTTTGTTCCAATACTACTTAACAATCTCCATATGGGGAATGGGAAAAATGTCATCCCCATTAGGTGAATGTTTTGGGAAGCTTGTTTTGGGAGGACAGAGACAGAAAGGGACTCCTCCTGGAAAATGTTTGCAGTTTTCCTGTGGTAGCTCCCCCTCAACTTCAAGCATAAAACTCTGATAGTTGCTGAGAGGAACATATTCAGACCAGTAAGTGACAGAGCAGGTTCTGTGCTGCACATGGTATGACCAGAAGATAGGGATGTGTAGGTGTTTCCAGTCTACAGAACAAAAGGGTCCAGGAAGAGTCCCTGGAGAGGCCTTTTCTGAGGGCAACCCCCTCATTTTGGGGGCATCCTGCCAAATGACACATTTTCTGTGTTGAATGCCTGCCATGTCTGAGCAATCCCGATGCTAACGGGCATTGTGGCAGGGCAAGCAAGGTGAAGCATCTCTTTAAAAGCTTTTACCCTTGCATGCTGACCACAGAGATGGCTGGCCCTACATGGATCGGCAAGCACTGCTGGCTCTGCCTGGTTGGCCTTCTGCTCATTTGCACTTGCTGGGATCACTGCAACAAAAAGCCAATTAATTCCCTATTAAATAGCCCAAACTTCCTGCCCTGAGCATCCTCTGAAGGAGGGCTGTGAGATGGGGAAATGGGGTTCTCTAGCAGAAGGGGAACAGTTAAATGTGCAGAAAGAGGGTACAGTGTGTCAGAAAGCCTACATTTTCAAGGGGAACGAGGAACTTCTGACTACCCATTTTGGGGCAGCTTAGAAAAGCCAAATTTTCAGAAGCTGACACGTACTTTCTGAAAAACCTTCTCCTGAAGCTGTGCACGCCAGAGCCACTAACTGCTTTCAGATACTTGAGGAACAGCACAGTGGAGTCCAGCTCTTCCCAGTGGGTGCCAGCTGGGCTCTGTTCCCCCTGCAAGCCCTAGGATGGTCCTTTCCTGCAGCACTGGTACACCAAGGGCTCAGTTCTGCGGCTGTGACCTCTGTCCTGCCGCCGCTCCTACAGGCGCTGCCCGAGGAGCACTGAAGTCATAAATGTGAGGGGCAGACCGGCTCGGAGTTACTGTAGCTTTTCATATGATTTCATGTGACCTCTGTCCCAGCTTCAGACACAAAAGCATCTGGACATAATAATGCCTATTTATAAACAACATTGTATCATCATTTGTTTAAAGAGAAGTAAATCCTAATGCTGATTATTTTTGAACGCACCATGAGCTTTCTGACATAATGAAAAGACAGGAAGAGTCCCAAGGCTGGCATTTCCCCAAAAATGTAGATTGTTGTGGGAAAGGAGACAGAGTAGGCTTCCTGCTTTTGTAGAGGGAACTTATTTTTTGAAGTAAGATAAACTTAGAGTACTGCTTTTGTAAAGACTGAAGCTTATTTTACTTACCGATATCACACGCACGCCAGCAAGCAGCGCCAAGGTGGAAGTGAGACGCTGTCCGTATTTGCTAGCAGCAAATAGCTGTCCATATTTGCCCTGCCTGTGCACGGGCCCATCCATCCATACCATGCAGTAGGGTCTCACCTGTTTGTAGGGGTGCTGTCACCAGGAAAAAAAAATAAAAACCTGGGAGGCTCTCACAAGGTTTCCCTCATTTCCCTCAGTGTCAGCCTGTGATCAGTCCCTCTGATGGAGCTTCTTGTGGGCTAATTTAGAGAAGAGCCGTGAGCCAGCAATGTACAGCTCAGTACGATCACAACCAAAGCTCCTTGCAGGTGAAAGCCTGAGAGTCTTTACCCCAGCCCACACAACCACAAGGAGCTGGTAAGGACTGCCCTGCCTCTGCGCCCTAGCCCAAGCTGTGTTGTCATTGCAGGTGAACCAAGGGAACAGCAAGGCCCTGGGATCAGGCCTGGGATACCTGGAACACATCTGCCAACTGATAGAGAAGATTGGGCAGCTGCAGGAGCACAACCTGCGGCTCCAGAAGCAGGTCTGCAGCTTGCAGAAAGAGCAGAAGATGAGCCAGCTAAAAGAGGTAAGCAGACACCAGAGAATCTTTCATTAAATGATATAACTCAAAGCCCACATGCAGTTTCAAGTCCATCTAAGAGATGATGCTAACTTACTTGACCCCTTACCCACCTGGGCTGGGTGTTCTGGTCTTCAGGGAACCTCTGCCCACCATGGTGGGCTCAGCTTCCCTTAGGTCAGCCTTCTTGTTCCTTTTTGCTCTCAGATGTCCTAGTTGCCATTTGCTTGCCTCTGGTGAGTTACAGAGTCCCCTCGCCTCAGGCGATGGACAGCTCAGTTGGTAGCTTTTGCTTCTCTGCAGTTGAAAACTTCCCAAGAAGGCACCTCCTTCTGTCAGTGCTATCAAAACAAAATGTTTCCATGGACCTCCCTAGCAATTGCATTTTGAATTAAAAGCTCTTATCCTTCTGATTTCAAGCTGTCAAAATCCCAGAATTTTCCACAAAATGGATACAATAGGAAGTAGTGGCAGTACCACTGCCCACCACTGCCCAACCCTGATGCTCCCTTTCCCTCCCTGCTCTTCTGAGCTGCTAAATGAAAATCTCTGACATGAACATCTCAGTGTTCCCATTTGTCTTTTTTTTTTTTTTTATAAAGAGAGCCAGAGCTAGCTGTGGAATTTGATTTAAATTTTCAAATCATTTCATCTTCCTCCTAAACAGCATTTTTTTTTTTTTTAGCCCCTGCATACTCTGTTCAGCTCCACCCCACCTTTTATTCTTGGGTCCTTTTCTTTGGCCACTACACCAGGTTTCCAGCTTTTTGCCACCCCCCACTTTTTCCCTTTGTATTTTTTGTATCACCCCCAAAGGAACAGAAGGGGTTTGTCACACTCAGCTATCTCATCCCCACCATGCTGTGGTGACTCTTTCATTCTGCTGACAGCGTCGTTCCTCCCCTGGTGCTGCTCTCCCACCTGCTGGGGCTGGATCTGCAGTAGGTGACCGACTCCTCAGAGCCAAAGCCAAGTCATGAGTCAGGTTGCAGAACAGCGTAGCCTGTCATTTCCATGTACCCATCTCTGATTCTCAGAGGAATGCAGCCTCCTACATAGAGCCTGGGAATTGTTAGCACATTTCCTGAAGCTCTACAACTGAGTCATTGCTCAAAGTAACTCTTCCAAGCTGAAAATTCAGGGTCAAATCCTCATCTGGTGTAAAGGCCTCCTCCTCCCCAGCTCCCACTGAAATGAAAGGCACTGTTCTTTCACGTAAATATTTGAAACCGGTCTTTTCAGTATTTTCCAAGGTCTCTCACCACAGCCTTCTCAACTGCACAAGTCTCATGATACTCAGCAGGGAATTGGACCCCTGACTATAACACTCAGCACTTGCTCTACAAAATGGTGCTGTCTCTCTTGGGTATCCTTGTAATGCCTGTGTGCCTGCTTCTCCTATATCCAAGTAGCTCTCAATCATTTCCTTTTTCAGTCCCATAGCATCTCTGTGTAGAAGAGAACCACTACTACTCTCATTTGCCATGGGAGATGGTGGTTGCTGTCCACATCACAATCTGGGGGGCATTCTCAGGTTACTTTCCAAACCACATTCACTCTCCATGCAGAGTGAGAGCATAGAAAAGTTTCCATGCCCAGGAAAGACACAACACATTCCCAGCACAGAAATGGGTTACTGGGGTAATAAGAGCTGGTTTGGGGGATGGACAGAAACTGATGATATTTCCAGAAACACTCAGACTATGCAGGTTCCTAAAGCTGATAGAGCTATACTGGTTTCTTCTATAAAGCACCAGGCAGTCTATAACACCAAAGGCTGATAGCAGTCCATAGCTTGCAGGACTAGCCTTCATCAGGTAGGATGACTGAAAACTTCAAACATTTGAGAAACCTTTTGTCATAACTCTCCTAAGCATGTCTTGCCCAGAGAAGTAGTTAATCTTTTGCAAAATTCTGTGCAGAACACAGCTTTTACCAAAGGAACCATGGATTAAAAAAAGAAAAAAAAAAAGTGTTGATCCTGGGATGCACAGGGAGCACATACTCCACATCCTTTGCTTCAAAAGGAAGTGCTCAATGCCATAGGCCAAAAGCAACATATTTAATCAGATTTTCAAAGCACTCGTCAAAGGCATAGGTACTGCAAAGTGCCATGCTGCTGTGGCAACTTATCCAAATGACATATTACATTAAATCTGTCAATCACTTGTGGGTCTAAACTGGTGTTGGCTTGTCCAAGTTCCAACACAGTGTGATTCTCTTTCCACTTTGACTGTACAAAGCTGTTCTTTGCTTCCTGCCCTCCTAAACTCTTGCACAACATGATCATGCAAATCTGAAAATCTCCCCTTTCCACCACATCAGCTACAGAAGTACACCAGCTAAAGTACCACATACAGTGAGTGTTTGATAACACATAAGCAAACTATGACCTCCCATCAATAAAAATACAAGATACTGTTGTCTGTGCGTGTTCCAAATCAAATAACATTATCATAAAATGTGAGTCACTGTTATAATCGATTTGTTTATTTACACAATTGCCTCAGCTGAGCAGCTATGTGTTCAGAAACTTGTCTTCAGCTTTTTCTGGGAAACAAACCCAAAAGATGCCGAGTAGTACCAGGCAATTCAAGGCAAACACCAACGAACCCATGAAAACTCTTGCATTACTGCCTCCAGGCTGCTCAGTTTTTTAGGGAGTAAAATTGCTTGTCTGGGTCTTGGGACAAGGCTGAGCTGGGATACTTGCAATTTGTCTGAGCCATTGCATTGCCCATTACCTTGAGCTGCTGCAGCCTGAAAGTCTGCATGCTTTCTTCTTTCTTGTCTGGTGTAGGAGTACCTCATGCAGCATTGCTCCTGCGGAGCTGCCAGCGTGTTCCTCAACTCGTACCAAGACATGAAGACATTTTTTGCAGGAAGAAGCAGACCTCACAGCCTCTTGGTTCAGACGGGAAACCCTTCTGATCTTTCCATCATCCCAGAAATAGGAGCCAACACCGAAAAGCTGAGCAGCTGCAGCGGTGAGTTCGACTGCCTCTAACCTGCCCTCCTGCTTGTCACCAGCTGGTGAGATAAGCTGACCAGCAGCTTCCTTTTCCCTACGACAGACAGATGGGAATAGAGCAAAGTGTCAGCTTCCCAGCTAAGGCTTAGTTCCACTAAGAGGTGCTTTTTAAAATACTTTGTCTACATCTAGGATTACTCCTTCATGTGTGAAGCAGGACTTCTTGCCCACTGTAGCTATGGCTACAGATATTGGGACAAATACGTTATCAAATGTCACTCTCTTTTGGAAACTTGGCATACCTGCCTGAATCCATTAGTGTAAGTCCTCCATGTGGCTGTAAAATCCTCCCAGCTGGGATGAGATTTTATCTAAGGTGGAAAGCCTTACACCTGTTATTAGTCTCCTACCCTCTCAAGCAGGCACAGAACATGCTCCTGGAGGATGACTTACTCTATAGACCATGTGGAAATAAGCCCCAGCTGCAAGGCTTGGAACCAGAGACCAACTTTTCCAGAAAGCTGAGAAAAAGTAGGCTAAGACTACTGACAATAAAACCAGCTGGAAAGTCTGTATCCAACATTAGATGTGAATCAGCCCACTAAATGAGGCTGATTAGTTCATTTCAAACCCTGGACTTAAGCCTGCCTTCATACCTGGTGAAACACCACATCAACACCTCCTAATGGGATTGAGTCGCTGTAAATGTCCTTTGGGATCTCTAGTGCTGAGCACTTCTTTCAGGGAAGAAACTCTTCCCTGACAGTTTCAGAGCAGGCCCAGAAAGAAAATAAGACCTTGAGGAAGCCATTAGAAAGTTTGCCCTGGCCAGACACTTGCTTGAATCATTTCCCTTCTTTGCACTAAAGCATGTCATGAAGACACAAAAGGTTTCATCCCATCAGGAAGTCCTAAGGGGTTTCATCCAGTTTTGCCAGCACTGTCCAAAGGCTGTCCTAGCAGGACACTGCTGAGAAATGTGAGCAAGTCCTTGTGTTTCACTGCAGGAAGTGAGAGATACCCGGAATCAGGAAACAGCCAGCCAATGTCGGGGCTCAGGAAGCTGTCAAACAATAGGAACAACAAGGAGAATGAGTTCACAGAAGCTGGTAGCATGGCTGAGGGGCAGGCTTTTCCGTCAAAGGACCCTGCAGCCCGAAAGGTGAGTGATAAGCTTGGAGCCAGGCTCCGAGTGGGGTCGGTGGGGGAAGCAGGGAGAAGTTCTGCTCACGCAAGTGCAGAGCAAGGTACCAGGAGAACAAGCCAACATTGCCTGCTCCCGACCAGAGCTGGGGCTGTGTGGGCCGGGGTGCTCTGTATGTATCTGATCTCAGGCTTAAATAATGATGAAGGATATGCTGATGGGGCAAGAAAGGCACAGAACAGGTACCTGGTGCAGGGGAAAGAAGCACTGCAGGCAGCAACATGGGCTTTAGCCCTCACTAACTCCAGGTAGTTTGATGCATGAAGTCAGTTGTAAAGAGCCTTCACTACTGCTGCTAACAAGGATAAACCAAGCACACATTCATTACCATATAAAAAATTCTGTGTCAGTCCATAGCTGAAAAAACTTACTGCCAGACTGGCTGCATATCAGTGTAATTAACAGCAGCCCCCAAAGCTTGTTTCAGGGAAACCCTATCGCTGAATTCCAAGGAAGCCAGGACGAATGTTTTTCCTCTCCCTCTCTTTCCCATTGTTTGTGGCTGCCTCAGCACTTTGCTGTTCCAGTGGGGATCAGAAGTGCTAAAATGCCAGGGCAGAAGCCCTAATCAAAGTATTCCCAGCTCTACAGGAAAAAGGAAGGAGTAGGTCTCTCACGGGAAAGACTTTCTCATGAAGTTTCCACCCAAAGTTGCAAATGGGTTGTGAACATTTGGATGGTCTTCAGGAACCCAGTCAAAGATGAATCCTGAAAGGTGCTCAGTGCTTGTGTCTAGCAAAGCTCTGGCTTTTAGCATTATTTCATGCATCACAGTCCCATGATGGCTTCACAGGACTGCAGAATCAAGATCCACACTCCTTAAGCTGAATCTTAGCACTGTTTTCTTACACCACACCCTGGTATTGTTGCTCCTGCATTTTGTACTCTCAGCATGGAGTGCCCCATTTCCTTCTACAGCTGCAGCACTGTATGGGGGTCCTGCCACACCAATCAAGGTGCTATATACACGAACTGACAGTCTAAATACAAAAGAGAGGCAAAAGGTAAAGGAAACAAAATTGTCATGCACATGTGAGGGACAGAACCACAAAGGGATAGAGGACTTGAATAAGGCCATGGGTGAAGCCTAGGGCAGAGCTGAGAACAGAGCCCAGCCTGGTCTCACTGTCATGTTATTTACCAGTTTATTTCCCTTTGTTTTTAGGGTCTGGACACCAGCAAGAACTGCTTGGTATGTAATACCTTTCTGAAATGTATTTCACTTGTATCTGCTTTGTCATGGAGAAAGCCTCTGAAGCACACAGCAGTTCACAAAAACAAAAAAGAGATTCACTGACCCCCAAAGTTTACTATCAAAGTAACAGACGGCATGTGTCCTTAGTGTGACTTACTGCACTCTTCCGTTGTTCTCCCACTCCCACTGTAGGCAGCAGCTAGCTAGCCTTCAGGAACAGGCAACTGCTTAGGCTTCCTCTGATGTTAGCAGTGCTGGCTCGTCTGGGACACCAGCACAGCAAGTGAACTGCTGAGGCCTTCAAAGCTCTCATTAATCCTAGTAACAAACACAAAGATTTGATATTTCCATGAGTAAACAGTCCCACTTACTGGCAATTAACTCAATAGCACAAAAACCAGTGGTGCAGTTTTCAGCTGAGCCGCTGACCTCATCTAAAGCTTTGAACTGAAAACTTAGCAGAGCCTCAGGAATTACTGCAATAGCTGCCAAGCTGTGCTCTGAGGTGCCCACAACTCACAGAGCAATGGCTCTGCTGCTGGCACAGTAGGAAGGCACCTCGAGACAGGGCAAGACAATGCCCCAAATGTGACAATGCCACTGAGAACTTCACTGAAATGGGCACTGACATCGTTTCTGCTCATCACGTTAGCCCTAGAACATGATCTTTTTCACTCTGTTCCCAGGGTTTTCAACCATTATTTTAGAAAATTTAAAACAATGGTTGTTTTAAACAAAGAAATTGAAAAAATTTAATACATGGTTACTTCTGAATTCATGAGTCTAAATGAGTTCAGTCCTAAGAGAGCAAACATTAGGGAGAGCCTCATGAGAATCCCTGACCTCCTGATAATCACTATTAGCATTTCAAATGTAAGTGCCCTATAGCTGTGGCTTGCAGACGTGACACAGAAACAAAGGCCTGATCTCTTCTAATTCATGGTCCGCAAAAAAAAAGTTGACACCTTTAAAAGGGCTGATACCAAGGCACCTGGCCTAACAGAAAGGAGAAGAGAGCCAAGCTGCTTTTTTTGGGTTGTTTGCTATGTAAAGCTACTGCCCCCCCACCTCTGCCTCCTGGGGTGCATATAAGTAGGTAGAAAACCAAACTACTTTTCTTTTCCTTTAGTACAGTATAACAATAAGGTAAAACGTGCCTTTAGGCAGCTACTCAACACTCCCCAGTGAAGTGCTCTCACTCTCTGCAATGTGAAGTCAGAAGGAACAGAAGGGCCCTAGGCACAGAAATGATATGGGACAAATACAAGAAGGGCACTACTACTGATGGTTGACCCATCCTGTTCCACTGTGCCCCGTGTAGGTACAGGCTGGCTACCAGGCTCTGCTGCAGGGTATTAAAATCTTCTTTGTGAGACCTAACCCCAGACAACCTAGGCTGAATTAAAAATAAGGTTCTCCCCATCTCTCCAAAATAAAGCAGCTGAAAGCATGGCACCATATGCACTGGTGAGCTGCAAAACCGGGGAGTCCCAGCCCTGCACCAGCTCTGTCAGGAGTGAGGCTCTTGCTAGGGACATATTCTGAGTGGGAAGCCCTTCCCATCACCCTGGAGTACCCAAAGTATTGTAAGGTGGCCAGCAACCTCCCTCTGGTCCTTCAAGTTATGGTTTCTTTTTGCTCCCTAGGGTGAGAGCCATGCTTGGGGGAGAATGAGAGATCTCATGAGGAAGACACGACTGCGAAACCAGAGCAAGCTGGGGCTGTCCTCTGCTGCTCTGAAGAGGTCGTGCCCACAGTTGTACAGGTAAGGCAGGGCTGCAGGAGGATTTCACTTGGTGATGAGAGGAGCTGGTGAGAGATTTACCTTTGGTTGTTGTGTTTTTCTGAGCAGAAGACCCCTCCTTACCTTCTCTCTGTTACGGATGGGGATCCTGGCCAGCACATTTGCTTCCTTAGTGCCCAGGCACTCTAAAATCCCACCTGATGTTACCTGTGTGAGAATAATGGAGACATTCGGGTACCCAAAAGGAGGTGCTCACCCCCACTCACCACCAGCCAGAGCCATTCCATCACCTAACTACTATTTTTGTTAGGAGATCTGTGCTGGTCCCTCAGGGAATTTTGTCTGCTGGGCTGGTCATATCCCGGCACCTGAGCTGTACAGCACCGTGTCTGTCGGAGATGACAACAGCACCACCAGCCACCCATTGCACAGATACTCTGCGTGCTTGCCAAGTCCTCCCAGCTGGCCTGCTGGATTTGTGGTATTTGTGTACATAAGCGGGTAACAGGAAGAGCTTGGGTATCTTATTCACCAAAGCAGGAGCATTACATAGAGAACTGGGCACCTCCCTGTGTTTTTTCAGCTGAGGTTTCAGTAACCTTGAGGGGAACAGCTTGGATGTGCTTAAGCCCTCCTCGGGTTTTAGAGGGGGCGATGGTGGGGAAACGGCAGTTGTTTAAGCACTCAGGAATGTCCCATTGTTCCCCCTTGGATGGCCTGTTCCTACCTTACAAGGCTCATAAGGGAATTGGGAATCTTGTAATTACAGCTGGGGGAAAAAAAGAAAAAAAAAAACACCTCTGCAGTTCATGGAGTGATTTTTCCAGCTGGGAAAAGCTTAGTTGGGGCCCAAACACACGTAACAGGCAAGCTTCCTCCCATTGTTTGGGAAACCGAAAGAAACACAAAGCAGAAAGAGATCAAACAGTTCTATCTAAAATAGATGGTGAACCAGCTGGGGAAAACATTCAAACTCTTGTGAACCTTCCCTCTTAAATATGAAAAACTGAGACTTTATTTGGGCTTCAGAAAAGTCCTGTCGCTGTAACCTCCTGCTTGGCCTTTCCTCTGAAGGGCTGAGGATGCTGCCAGGGCTCCTTGCCTGACAATTACAGGCTAGATAAATCAATGCTCTCACACAAAAAGGCCACCCCAGTAGCTCTTAAATCTCTTTTGTTATTCTTGCATGCATATTGAACGACTAAAACTGTCATGGGAAGGCTGGAGAATGAGACTTCAAAGAGAAATTTCTTTACCTGGCTGGAACTGACCTTCAAGACCCAAAGATCTTGCACACTGAATTTTCCAGACTGCTTCCTTTAGCTGATAAATGGCTTTCTCTGACACATCCGCATACACTCCTTGCCCATGCCCCTTAAATTCCTCTATTCCCTCTTCTTCTCTTAGCTCTGTTCTCTATTTGCTCTTGCCTTGCTGATCTGGTGGGAGGTGTCCCTGCCCACAGCAGGGACTTGGAATTAGGTGAGCTTTAAGGCACCTTCCAACCAAACCCATTCTGTGATTCCAGCCCATGTCCGGCAGTAGCAATGCATTGACATTGGGCTTTTCACTGGTGCCTGGAAAAGTTGGGCACCTTGCTCCAATAGCATTTTGGGTACCTAGCTACACTGACTCATTTAAAATAGAAGGTTAAGCCTTTGTGGATCAGTGACAGCCCTGTAAATGCTGCTGGATAGAAAGCCAGGTGCTTCCTACGGTAGTACCTGTCTACAGCTCTTGGCAAAGCAAGTGTTGAAGCCCTGATAGTCTCAGCATTTAAAGTCACTGTCTTTGCTACAATTTATGAAACGTGTTTGTCCTGGCTCCTGGTCCTGTTTGTACATGCAGGCATACAGAATTGGCTG